TCGGACAGTGACTGTTGATTAGCCTTCTCTATGAACATAATGTAATGTATTAATAATGATTCATTTTCTTCCTTGTGAAGCGTACTTATTCGCCTCATTCAGTAGTTCGGCGTCCTTAGTAACTTTTTCCATCCATCTCTGCACTAGCTTATCATTTTCGCTTGTAAGCGATTCAATCTTATCGTTCATCAAATTATTCTGAATGTGTAACGATAAAAGTTCGTCGTTTACGAGTTCAAGACTGGCGTTCTTGGTCTGCGACTCCTCTTTCAAAACCCTCAATTTATTGACACATTGTTTTAATCGATTTTCTGCTAAATTTAGAGCCTGTGTAAGTTCCACGTTAGCTTTTTCTAGCTCGTTCTTTTTATCTTGCGCCTGCCTCAGTCTTCGCTGTGTTGAGTTTAATGATTCTGTTTGAACCTTCAACTGGCCCATTGTCTTTTCCAATTCAATTTGGGAATCCTTTTTCTCTATGGATTCCAATTGCTGCTTCAACTCTTGGAACCTGTCCACACCGAATTGAACTATTGGGTCGTTAGTATTGACGAGAGGGCAGGGAATGTGGTGGGGTAAATACTCACATGATTCATATATTTCTTTGTTTGTTGATTCCTTCCTGTCACGTTCTTTCAGTGCTTCCAAAACTTCGTGTTTCCAAAAATCGGCCATCTTTCTACTATATCTTCAGGGATTGAACGGTCGATGGCCTGGTTCATTGGTGTGTAGAGTGTTTAAGACATCAAAGCTTATCGGTAGTAAGAGCTCGAAAAATACAGGCGATGTCAAATGTTACATGTCCTTCATGCTCTATCTCCTATTTAGAAAGCATATATATCTTCCATTAAAAAGTCGACGTTTACCCCAATTTGCTTCAGTTCGTCGCTCTGGCTCTTGGTTATCTCAAGACAATCTATGTAGGAGGAGGATTTTTCGTTGACACCTTTCAATTGTCTTTTCAAAATATCTGCATGTTGGTTGATTTGATTCGTCACAAACTCGATTAGGTAGCAGTTCATCTCTTTATTGGGAAAACATCTGCGATAAAGCTGACAGGTAGCCTTTAGAGTCTGAAATCTGATGATAGTGAGCTGTGAAACGTAACTGGGAATATCTCCTTCAAACACGACAGACCGATTGAGTTTCTCAATAAGATTAGCTTTTGATTCAAACAGTGAGTCTCTGGCAATCTTCTCCAGATCCAAGGATGCAAGCAATTGGACTATTTGATAGACCTTTTCATCAGATATCGACGGACGATTCAGTTCAAAATTCAAGCTTTTGATTATAGATTCTTGTCTCATCGTCAACTTGACTTTCAGTAAATCAAACAGTACAGTGCCCTCACTTAACTTGTCATTGAGATTGATTGTCGGCAATATGCTATTCAACTGAGAGCTGAGCTGTTTAAGTGAATCTACAGCATCTGGAAACTGCTGATGAACAAGATGGATATCAACTTCATCCAATGTATCTTCCAAGCTTGTTAATTTTTCTATAATAGCTTTACTGTGGCCAGGAGAGGGCAATAGCCCTTCTGTTTTGAAATCAAGCTCATCTTGTCCCATGTTACCCATTGAAGACGATAGTTTAATCTTGTCTTGTGATCCATGCTCCATGCTTCGATTTCTTGAATGGACCTTATGGCTTAGATCATGCAGCTTACTGGAATGTCTTCTAATAGAATCTTCGGATATCGATAACCTCGACATGGAGTTTCTTAAAGACTCGGTATTTTGCCTTTGTTGCTCTATGAAATCACTGAGGTCATCCTTCGTTCTCCTAAATGACCCAACTATCAGATCTAAAGGTTCTTGTCTATCAGTTTGGTAGATGAAGGACATTTTCTTATATTCTAAAGCAATCGTAAACGTCTTTGTATCTGTGAATTTTTTCAGTTCCAGTTTCTTCACACTCAAATCACGAATTGGCCAGCATTGAGTTGCGATCAGCTGTTTGAGACTCTTGTTACCACCCTGATTTCCAGTTTCATTGATTTTGGTCTTTAGTTTCTTTCTCGTAGCTATCAGTACATGGTCGTTGAGTATGAATAAATGAGCAGGTTGCAGAGGTTTCATAGTGGCTGAATTCAATTCAAACCAGCGGCTGCTTTCAGCTATAATGTGTCTGCCGGGGTTGAAAGATAAGAACTTTTGAATACCTTCAATTTGTTTGAACAATTCATTCATTTGCACTTGCCATAACTTCTCTACCATCAAGATGCTTGATCTATCACGCTTCCTGTTCAGCACAGAGATTGTACGAGAGAAATTTTTAGTAGGTGAGCTATTGTGTTGGGTAGACTGTTGGATACTGGACTCTTCCTCGTGAAGTTTTTTCAAGGCAATTGATTGCAATTGACCAGATATCAGATACAACTCGTTGATCGACGAGCCAAGATCTTTCAGTTGATGTTTTGTTTCCAGTATGTCGTCTTTTATTTGTACAATCTCATGTTCACTCTTAGCAACTGATATCTTAAAGTCAGCCTCGGCTTTTTTCTGGAGATGTAGTAAGTTGTTTGCAAACTCATCAATCTTTTGAGCATCAGCATTGGCCAATTCCTTTCTAACATATTCAACACAATCAAATTCAGACTGGGCTAACAAATTGGGAAGAGTCTGTGGAGCTTTTGGGTCGGCGTCAAAGTCGAAACTACGAGTTGAGAGGTTACTTAGACCTCTTCTACGAGGTTTGGTAGTAAGTGGAACCGTCAACAAATTATCATTGGTCCCTCCTACGGCAGCTCCACCATTATTCCACAAATCATGCATATTTCCTGGCAGGTTAGGGGCATTGTGAGGAGTGAACGTGGTCATTGGAGTCGAATTTAGCTTAATACTCAACCTCCTTTGTACTCTGGTACTGGCGTTGGTGGATATCTTACGAAGTTCATTCGAAACCCCCTGATCTTGACCCTTATGATACGGAACGGAAGCATCAGCATCAGAATCATACTGCTTCCAATCTCCTTTGGGCGCTCTACTCTTTCTCAGGGAGTAATCGCCTCCCATCGTATTAAGTTTGTTAAAAAGAGATTGTTGTCGTGCTCCTACGGCTGTCCTACGATATCGCGCATATCCGCCATCTACCAACCCAAACATCTATCTTACACGAACAAATTCATTTATTCTAAGTATATCCTATCAATTTAGCAGACTATGAATGCTGGTCTTCTGCTTCATCAGAAGTAGGGCTTTAGAAGCATCCTCTTCCTCTAATTCTGCACTGGACAATCCCGTCATCGCCGGCGATGGTAACTGGAAAGATGAGATCTTTTTTAACGGGGGCAACTCAGAAGCTGCTGCTTTGGCTCTAATACTCGTACTGTTGTTGAAGGACATCTCGGGGGAGAAAAGGGGACTTTGATATGAACTGTTGGATCGCAGACTACTGGAACTGCCATAGTTCTCCGCTGATATCAAGGGAGAGATAGGATCTTTATCGCTGATTGAGTTTGAGTCGTTGAAGTCTTCAGGATCACGTCCAGAGTCATTGTTTGTACTAGTGTCGTCATCTTCTTCGTCCTCGCTCTCATTTATGTTTTCTTTGCTGCTATTCGTTGCCTCCATATGTGGAAAGGAGATTGGATTTCCATTGTTCTCTAGGAGCTTATTAAAAACCTCCGTCTGAAAGTCAAACTCTGACTCAATGTTTCTATATTTTTCCAAATCCAGCTCGTAATCACAGAAATCAATATTGTTAGCCATCAACCATTCACTATTGGGACAACCACTCTGGATTTCATTTCTCATTAGCCGTATGCATTGATGCAAGTACTTTATGTACTCAACTGTGGATTGCAAGATTGTCAGTTTGTGCATATTTGCACTATCTTGAGCTGGATATGTTCCCATACTGTTACTCATCAAAGAGTACACAGAAGATCTACATGCCGGAATCATATACTTCAGGGCCTCAAATTCCCTATTCATCTTTATGCGGCGCTTCTTCTCAATAATAGAATGGGCTGCTTTGAGCTCTTTCTTCTTTTTGGCAATTTCTTCTTTGGACTCTGTCAGGGTCGATCTACGACGCCGTTTAGCACTTGTTCCACTGACGGAGGAAGATCTACTTCCTGTGTCTGCATATCTTGCTTTGGAATCAGTTTCATGGCTCGAAGTCGTCAGTGTTCCATTGGATATTGAAGCCCGGTTCATTGTTATGAAGTTCGAAGACTTGAACATGGGAGGTGGGGGAATGTTGTTCTTGGACATTCTGGAAGCTTAGGTTTCTAAATTGTTTCTACGGTGATAAATGATAGGCGATATTGGAGATCTACTTTGAGGGGGGTTGAAGAGAGAGGTATTGAACAGCTCAAATTTGTTCTGTTATAAGCAAACTGCGACTTTGGCACACGTGGAATGCCTCAACTGGTTCTAAAGCTCGTCAGCCTTCCCGTAACGTGCCCCCGTCTGGCTATATATGGAACCCAAGATTTGACCACGTTGTGCACGTGGTGCAGGATGGATTACAGATGCCTGTCGCGGTACGTCAAAGATGAAGGGTCTCGCTGGATAGATAAACATCCCTATTGTTTGCGACTGCTTGGTTACCAGGGCCACGTGTAGAATAATTTCGGATCGTGTGACCCTTTCTTTCCGACTTTCCTTTCGCCTGTCTCCTTTGGGCCAAAATCACTTTCTTTCTTGGCAAGCTTAATTAGGGAGGCAACTAGTGCATTCCCAATACTATTCCTTAGGGGCGGTCTTGGCTACACACAGGTACAACGTTGAAAAAGAGCTCACAGGATCCTTTCAGAGCTTATCCAAGAAAAATGCTCACACTCGCATGACGTCCACTATTTGAGAGGGCAGCCTAGACAGTTCTTTTATTATCTTCAGCACGAAGCTTTTAAGGAGGTCAGGAGTGACCCTTATCTGGTTTCTCGCTTGTGGTGGCTTTGCTTAACTCCATGCTAGTGAATGCACAAGCTATTACATCAGTACGGGCAAATTACCCGACAAAACAAAAACAAAATAATTCTCCAAAATAAATAGTGAACGCGGTGAGGTTCGAACTCACGCCTCCGAAGAGACTAGCATACTCAATTTCCTGAAGCTAGCGCCTTAGACCTCTCGGCCACACGTCCTACTTTCGACATGGCAATGATTGGCGGTGGTCTATGAGCCGTCAATCACAGTTTTAATTGCAAGAATACGTTGATGTCTGTACTAGGTTCGGAAATTGTGGCACCATTCCTGTGATGTGAGTAGCCTCTTTTAGGTTGAAGTGAAAAAATCTGTTACTTTTACTTTTAGCCCAACCAGACCAGACCCTCTTCAACAGCTCGTAATAGTATGATGTGTAACTAGATTAAGCTTCTATATACTGTAAACTATATCATAAAAAACCTTTAAAAGAGATTTTGTACTCAATACATCTATTCAAGCCTTAGATTTTAACCATGAATGTTCCATGATGTCTCCCATGGTAGGTCGTTCATCCACATCTCTAACCAAAATCTTCTTTATCAGATCAGTGCACTCGTTACTAAAAACAGGAGGTAGCCTTAGTTCACCCTCAATAATATCATCCACATTGTAGAACGGGTTCTCCTTGTAAACTAGCGTGTATAAGAGAATGCCCATGGCCCAAACGTCTTGAGGTTTGCCTTCGTATGGGGCACCATGTAGAACCTCGGGAGCTGAATAGTCAATGGTGCCTACAAAAACATCGAATGGTCCGTTCTTAACATACGCTGCTGAACCAAAGTCAATCAGTTTGACGACGCTGTTGGAATCAACAATGATATTTTCGTCCTTGATATCACGATGGACAACTCCATGTTTGTGCAAATGTGCAACAGCAGAGCAGCATTGTCTATAAATGTATTTGCACTCTTCTTCTGACATGTTTGTTTTGATCTCAATTAAATCGAATAAATCAATTCCTGTGGGATCACCGTGTGCCGGGGTCTCCAGATAGTAGTAGTTACTGTCTTCAAAAAAATCAACGATTCTCATAATGTTAGGGTGTGGATCATGGTTCATGAATGCCATAATTTGTATCTCTGAGGGAATGGTACCCAGTTTTCGATCTCTGACCCATGTGTCAACAAGAATTCTCTCTTTGATAATTGACTTGATGATTACCTTGTAGCCAGGATCCTCTTTATTCACACAGAGCGACACCTTTCCGTAGGCACCTTCACCCATATTCTTTAACCTAATAAACTCCGTGATCTTCTTTTCTCGTCTCTTTAGCCCAACTTGCTTCGGCCAAAGTGTTGATTTTGCTTGAATATTAGCCATTTCCTCGTTTTCAATGCTGAGTAACTTGTCTTCAGAGAACACTTTGAGCTCGTGAGATTCCTTCGCTATCACGTCTTTCTCGTACTTCAATGCTGATGACTCCGTCGGTAGCAGCCCATCCACCGATTCAGTCTTAATCTTGTTGGGGATGACCGTTACAAGAGGCTCACTATTAACCTTTTCTAGCTCTCTGGAAGAAAATGGCTTCATGCCATAGTTGTTAGCTCTATTGCCCATGCTGTTTAAACTTTCACTACGGCCAATGGGGTTCTCCCTGAGTAAACTATTACTTCTGCTCAACTCATCGGAGGAATCACCACTGCAGGAAACTAAATCAGTTTCGTGATCCTTTAACAACTGTAGTTGGGAAGGCAATGCCATGCTTCTATCTTCATTAGAAGAGTGAGACAAAGTATGATGAAGATCCAGAGGCTCAACTACTGAATGCCTTCTGTCTTTCCTCAGATCGTTGAACTGGACTGTTCTAGAGTAAGTGATCCACAGTATATAGCATTCTGCATTAGGAACTCTCAGTTGAATATCAACCCTTGTTCTTGTTCCATCCCTATGAATAGCATCTAGCCCTTTACCATTCAAGAATAATTCTTCTCTTTCAGGAGATGAATGCCCCGCTAAATCTGCCTTTAATTTTCGGAAATAGTGTTCAGGCAGAACAAGGTTAGGTTCACTGTTCTTTAGACTTCTTTCTCTAATCTTGGCAGTTTCAACAAGCTTTCTGAAATCAGGAATCAGTTGATCAAAATCCAAGTTCAATATATTGGAAGTACCAAACAAATTTTTTGAGATGGCATCGTTATGGGCTAAAATTTTGTACGAACTAGACGAAACCACAAATGTTCCAGCAATATATGGAAGACAATGGATGTTCATCCTAATCACCGATTCCTTATCGTCTTCGTTTTCGTTGTCCAATGGTATACTAGTTATCGCACAAGGGATGTGGTTGTCATGAAATCGTAGCGTATAGTATCTAATATCATTGATATAAGCAGAGTCTTGTAGGTTTATTGGCAATTCAGACTCATTGTGACGATCAACAAGAGATGCAAGCTCCATCGCTAACGAGGGAATGAAAAAAGACAATGGATCACCTTGTTCGAAAGTAGCAAACTCCAATAAAGATCCTGTATGTTCTTTGAATGCATGGATGTAGTATTCAGAATCGGTATCGTGCGCCAGAGGTTTCGAAATGGTTAGGTCAAACGAGTCACATGGAATTTGATCAAAGATCAAAATCATCATATCATCTTTCCGTTTTGACCATAGTGAAGTCCAGGCCATTGTGTTATTGGGTTTTACCACTGCTATGATCTCACCACTGAACACAATTTCAGAAGTTCTCTTGTAAAGCTTTTGGAGAACAAAATCTCTAGATCTTGGAGCAATCAGATCAAGTAGGGCCAGTGCCCGAATGGAATTTCGAGTAACACCAAACATTAGGCATGCCAAATCATTAGCAGCTTTCAATGACCAAGGCGAGTCTAGTTGACAAGTGAAAACGGCCTGTGGACTTACGTTCTTTGTTGAGAGTATTCCATGGTAGGGCCGTTGTGCATGGGAGTTCTGTGTTTTAGAAGATCCTAGTGAAGTGGGGAGGGTTGACAATGCAAGTGATGATGGTGCAGTTTGTATTGGAAGAGTATGATTCGATGTTTCCAGGAACGGAGTTGCCAATGCATAGAGCAGATTCTTTTTAAAGTACTTCTCTGTAGTAACCCCAGAAAGAGAGAGGTCGTGAAGTTTCAGAGCCATATCCTTCTGATGGTCATGAATCATATCTGTGTCTGCTTGCTCTAGTAAAGCAATGATTGGCTTTAGTTCTTGTTTGAGATCAATGGTTGTGCCAACGTCTTTGTCCCTTGATTCGAAATAATGCTCCCTGTTTTGTGAATTAGGTGATGTATCTCTGGAACGCTGATTGGACATGAACAATGCACTTAATGCAGCGTACGAAGCATTACCTCTCAAGTTGATACGTTCTTCACTACCATCTCTACTGTAAGGCTTGGTTTCTACTGATGGAGGCTCATTGAAACTTGTGGAACTCCGGGAAATCACCAAATCAGGTCGATCAGAAAGAATTTCCAGAGATCTTTTCAAAACATTGAGTCTCAAAGCTAGTGAGTTAGCAGATAACCTTGCATACGAATAGGCCTGAGTAGAAACTTTGGGGAACTTTAGGACATCTTCTAGAAGTGGGGCATTAGCAGCAGACTGCTTTCTTTCAAACTCTGTTGGGGGACCAGTACTAACCTTCAAAGTACTTGTCCTTTGATCTAAAACCTTTTGCCTATTGGGTACACTCATACCCGATAAGTTGGATCTGCTGTTGATGGCCCTTCGTAATAATAAAGTTGATGAGTTAGCGCTCCTACTCTTTTGAAGCAGCGACATGCCATTGGCTGTCTTTCTCGGAGGGCTTGGGGTATGGCGTGCGTTAGTCTTTGGACTCTGTGGGCGGTTTTCATTTTCGTTGGTGTTACTAAGCTCTCCGATGGAACTTGCTTCATCTTCGTCGGCATCGCTATCGGAGTCAAATATGAAGAAACTGGAAGTGCTTTGTACCATTGGATGAGGCATAGGCTGAGGGCCGTTTAAAGTGGCACCTAGATGTGCGTCTGAAAGGGACTCTGAACTTTGGTTGGAATTGCGAGAGCTGGTGCTGCTTGATGGCTGTGAACCCAATATGATGGAGCTAATTGGACTGGACCCTGGGTTGGTGGAGTGCCTGGTTGCACTTCTCTGTGGAGGCGTGTAAGGCATCTTAGATGGTCAGATGCCTCCAATACCAACAGCCAAAGGAAATAGAGTGAGGTTAAGGCTGTTTCCCAAACTGACAGAACGAACAATGGGTAGTTGACAGGAGTCGATCTTCAAAAAGAAGAGACTTGGTAACTTTTGGAAGATTTGGTTCCTCTGGCGATAGTCTGGCTCAACAGAGTGAAAGGCCACAAAAAACCTATGCAACGACAAACTAAAGGAAAAACCGCAGACAAAAAACCCACTATTACTGAGGAGATCGGACTGAACTGGGCTGGATGTTGAGATTGGTTCAGCAGTCAGTACTTCTCGATATTTCTTGGTCAAAATTCTCTGATATAACAACCAGTAGCCAGAAAATTATTAAGGGGGGATGGTAGTATTAAGTGGGAACGGGAGGCGTGGAAATATGACGCTTGAATAGGAGAGAAACTAAACTAGGGTTACTTTTTGTTTAGGCTTCGCTTTCCTTCCCAGCTGAGATGACGTTGTTTCGAGCTATCTGAATTCCATGAGGCGAGAAAGGCAGACAGGCAATCTCTGATCGTGCAAGCGCGCGCGGTACGGGTTTAGTTCGAGACGTGGCAGTGTGCCGTGTGGCAGACTACTTAGTTGTGGGCGGGTTGATATGCCCTAAGGAGGAGGCGAACAGAGCGCCAAAAACTATTTTCGTGCGGCTCATATCTTGGTTTCCCAGGCTTCTACGGTACACAGGAGATAGGTCATACGATTACATGCTCTCTATATTTTCTTCTATACCTTCTTACAAACTTCATCGCTGTACCGCCCGTGGCTCAACTTGTTGAAGATAACGGTTTTCTGGAGCGGTGTTATCTTCTTGGTCTTCTTCAGAACATGAATAGGCGGTTCGCTCGAATCACCTATGTCTCCCATATACTCTAGCAGACAGCGGTTTCTAGAAAGGGTCCGAAGCTCAAGCCTCTCCAGTTTATCGGTAAACTTCTTTGCGATGTCAAAGAATTCGGGCAAGTACTGTTTGAGTGCGTCTACGGCCAATTGTTTCTGAGACTCTCTGTCCCGATGGTAGTGGACTTGC